AAAATTTCAGGAACCTTTATACATCCAGCACATGCAAATGACTGTTTGCCAATCTTGAGCATTATCCGTTGTATGGCCACCTTTTTATTCAGCCTAGCAAAGGGAGGATGCATGCATATATTTTAGCAATTTGTATAAAAGTACTCCATTTAGTAAGAGTAAGGACATGCACAAATAAGCAACTAAATTCATCATTTAATTTTATTTTTTCTTGTGTATGGAAAGAATATATACTGCAAAACTCAGGATAATTAGTCTATATCTTTTTGTCTGTTTGTGGTGATTGATTCTCATCTTTTGCCTTTCTGTGATCAGAGAATCAATCATCTTTTGTGACCCTGGCCTGTACACACACATGTTTTGACTAACCACCCCCCAATTTCATGTGATCCTTATCAGTTCCTTATTGGGGCGGAGAAGAATTGCTCATTTGAGCATCTCCCTATAAATTTAGACCAGCTTATGGGGAAGGTCACAGATGGGGGGTACATTCACAGATGGGGCATTGTCCTGCATGAGTGCAGAGCAGCAGTTGAACATGCCGAAGTGCAAAACAGCAGTTGAACATGCTGAAGTGCAAAACAACAGTTGAACATGCCAGAGTGCAAAACAGCAGTTGAACACAGCAGTTGAAATAAAGCAGGATAACTCAAGCAGCAGGAAGATACTGCACATAACTCTACTGCACGCTGGATGGACTGCAAGCTAACACCCTGGGAAACCTCTCCTACAAGTCTGATTCCCACTCCATCTACCTTTTAATATGCCCCCTCCAGTCCTCCTTTTCATATTACTCTCCTGCGCTCCCAAAATCTAATTTCTTTACCCCTCTGCTCCACCCCAAAGCTTATACATATCACCCTCTCTTCTACCATCTCCCTACTACTGCTCTCATCACCTCCTGCTGATATTTTACTCACCTGCTGACAAAAACACCAGGACAGGAAGGTATGTGCACTCATGTACATCCCACTCCCATCTTACTTTTATCATTCTCCTTCTTCTCCTAACCTCTGGGGATATATCTCCCCAAACCCTGGTCCTCCACTATCTTACCCCCATACCAGGCACCCTCCTTCCTCCAGGAATATCTGCAATCCACTCAATTTAATCTCAATCCCCATGCTCCTAAAAACCACCCTCCCTTTTTCATGTGCACTCTGGAATACCCACTCTGTCTGTAATAAGCTCATCTCTGTCCATGACCTTTTTGTCACCCGCTCCCTTAACCTACTAGCAATTACAGAAACCTGGCTTCAAGCAGCAGATTCTGCTTCTCCCACAGTACTTTCCTATGGAGGCCTTCTCTCCCTACTGAGCACCTTTCAAGTCCTCCCTAACCCTCCCTCTCTATCCTTCTCTTCTTTTGAGACTCATTGCATCCGGCTCCCATTTCTCTGAGGATTGCAGTGATCCTCCAGCCTCCTGGACCGGTGTCTCGCTTTCTTGATGATTTCTCTACCTGGCTACCCTACTTTCTATCCTTTGAAATACCCACTATCATTCTTGGAGATTTTAACATCCTCATTAATGTGAACAACCCGGCTACATCCCAACTCTTCAACCTAACCTCCTCTTTTGCCTTAGCACAATGTATACAGTCCTCCAGTCACTCTGATGGGAATACATTAGACCTTGTTTTCTCCCATCATTGCACTCCCTCCAACTTCATAAACACCCCCCTTTCCTCTCTCTGATCACAATATCATCACCTTCACAGTGTCCTCATCTTCAAACACTTATCCTTCCAAGCAGCAAACAATTACCTGCACAAACCTTCATAACTTAAACCCTTCTCTTTTCCACTCTGCAACTGACCTCCTCTGACAGAGTCTCTCCCCTGTCCTGCCCTGCCCTGACATGGCCACTTCTGTCTACAACAGTTCGCTTTCATCCACATTAGATTCGCTTGCTCCTTTACACGAAGTATCAGGCCCCGACCATTACAACCATGGCAGATTGACGACACCAGAAATCTTAAATGATTAGTCGTGCACTGGAGCGATTGTGGTGTAAAACCAAATCCCAGCAAGCATTCACCCGCTATAAATCTGCTTTCTTAACATACAATTCATCCCTCCATGCTGCCAAACAAGCCTACTTTGTCACCCTTATTAATACCTTGTCATCCAGTCCTCGTCGTCTCTTCTGTACTTTTAACTCTCTACTTTCTCTACCTTCACCTCCACCCATTAACGCACTCACTGCTTACGAGATTGCAAATCATTTCAAAACCAAGATTGATACAATTCGTAGGGACATCTCCACTACACAAACATCTATCCCACTTAGCATACCTTATACTAAACTTACCTCAACACTTTCCTCTTTTGACCTTGCTACTACTGAAGAAGTCACTGAAGTTTTTTCAGAAGCCCATCTCACCACGTGTCCCCTGGATCATGTCCCCTCTCAACTACTATGGTCACCCTCTTCTTCTGTCCTATGCTTCCTTACATCTTCAATCTCTTCCTCTATAATGGTGCCTTCCCCACTGCTCTAAACAATGCACAGATCACTCCCATACTTAAAAAGCCCTCGCTGGACCCCACCAACCTGAACAACTTAAGACCCTTCTCCCTGCTCCCGTTTACCTCTAAATTCTTAGAACGCTTAGTCTACAATCGCCTGCGCTCCTACCTCACTGACAACAACCTTCTTGACCCTTTACAGTCTGCTCTTCGCTCACTACACTCCACTGAAACTGCCCTACTAAAACTCACTAATGATTTACTAACTGCCAAAAATCAATGGTCACTACTCCATACTCTTACTACTTGACCTCTCTACGGCTTTTGATACTGTTGACCATCCCCTCCTCCTCAAAAAACTCCACTCTCTTGGCCTCCGAGACTCTGCTCTCTCCTGGTTCTCCTCCTACCTATCGCAACGTTCCTTCAGCGTTATCTATAACTCGGTCTCCTCCTCTCCACTTCCTCTTTCTGTAGGAGTTCCTCAAGGTTCTGTCCTTGGACCCCTTCTCTTCTCCATCTACACCTCCTCCCTTGGTCACTGGATAAACTCCCATGGCTTTAGGTACCATCTCTATGCTGATGACACACAAATCTATCTTTCTACTCCTCACTTCACTCCTTCAGTCTGCTCTCGCATTCCTAACCTACCAGGAGACTTATCAGCATGGATGTCACTCCACTTCTCCAAATTAATCTTTCCAAAACAGAGCTCATACTATTTCCTCCAGCCCGTGTCCCCTCCCCTGAATTCTCCATCAATATCAATAATACAACCATCAGTCCCTCCCCTCATGCCAGGGTACTAGGTGTAATCCTAGACTCCCGTCTGTTCTTTCAGCCCTAAATCCAATCACTGTCCAAATCATGTAGACTTCACCTTCGCAACATCTCCAAGATACGCCCGTTCTTAACCTCTGAAACTACTAAGCAACTTATTCACTTCCTTGTTATCTCTCGCCTTGACTATTGTAACTCCTACCTCATGGGCCTACCTAATCACAGGCTATCCCCTCTTCAGTCTATCATGAATGCTGTTTCCAGACTCATCCACCTTACTAACCATTCCATATCTGCCATCCCCCTCTGCCAAACCCTCCACTTGCTTCCCAATGAATAAAATTCAAAACATTACCAATAACATATAAAGCCATTTATAACTCTGCCCCAAATTACATCACCAATCTTGTCTCCAAATATCGCTCAAACTTTCCTCTCCACTCCTCCCATGACCTCCTTCTCTATAGCTCCCTTGCCTCCTCCTCCCATGCTCAACTCCAGGACTTCTCCAGAGCCTTCCCCATCTTCTGGAACTCTACCCCAATCTATCCAACTATCGCCTACTCTGCCCACTTTTAGACGATCTCAAAACCTATCTCTTCGGGGAAGCCTATCCTTCCTTCAGCTAATAACGGAATCTTCTATTCCTCCTACCAGTCCATCCCCCACAGTTATTACCTTTTGTACCACCAGCTCCTCTCTCTTAGATTGTAAGCTTCAAGGAGCAGAGCCCTCCTATCCCTCTTGTATTGAACTGTATTGTTGCTGTATTGTCTCCCTTTATATTGTAAAGCGCTGAGCAAACTGTTGGAGCTATATAAATCCTGTATAATAATATTAATAATACTGTCAGTTATAAGGTATAAACCACAAGTATTTGAATACTGCTAAAAGGTTTAATCATAAGAATATGACATAGCACCACTGTCTTCTTTTATGATTTCTTATAGGACAAGTTCACCTTTCGTAACATGTTACCCTCATATTCAGACTGTAACATGTTACAAATGGACAGCCCCCCACTCCTCCCCCTCTCCCGTTTGTGATAGCTAGCAGGCAGGGGCGGACTGACCATTTGGAAACTTGGGCACTGCCCGAGGGCTCGGGGTCAGTAGGGGGCCCCATGAGATGCCCCTGGTACCTTTTTCATAGGCTTTTTTGAGTTTGGGCAAGGACACAGGGGCCCCATGATCCCCTATTGCCCGGGGGCCCCAAGAGTTGTCAGTCCACCCCTGCTAGCAGGAGATCTTCTCTTCCCCGCTCGCTGTCACAATTTTTTGTAAAAATGCAGTTGTGTGGGGCTCCGCCAACCCAGCCTCATCAATCATTCAATGTATTCTGTGAATAAGAACACTACAAGTTCTGACAGCCTCTGTGACTGTCAGTTTGTAGTTCTCAATGAACTAATATGGTGCTATGGAGCACTGTTGTAGTTCATTGAGTCTTCCTGTCACTAGGTATGTGCTTGCCCCTACGGGATGTACAGGAACACAGATACAATGATAGGTCTGAAGGAGACCTGCAGATCGCTAGTGCAAAGCTTTAGAGGCTCCAGAAACAAAAAAATAATAAATACACATTTTGTTACCTGCAAAAAAATGTGCATTTATTATTTTTTTTTGTAAAAAGGCGAACTTATCCTTTAACCACCTCCTGCCCGCCATATAGTACAATGACAGGCGCAAGGTGATTCTTTTGTTCTGATAGGACGTCATATGACGTCCTTCCATTCTCACCGCGCATGCGCGGCTCAGGGAGCGCGCAGCGCGGCGATCGCCGGTTTGCTGTGTCCCTCGACACAGCGGATCACGGAAGAGCCGAAGATGTCGGCTCGGTCATGTGATCAGCTGTGTCCAATCACAGCTGATCACATGTAAACAGGGAAATGCCGGTTATTGCTGACAGCTCGAGAGGAGAGGAGTAGCCAGTAATCATCTTTCCGTGCAGGGGACATCTACACTGATTATCAGGGCACTGATGATCAGTGTGCCCTGATGATCAGTGTGGCCCCAGAAGTGCCACCTGTCAGTGTCCATCAGTGCCAGCAGTCAGTGCTCATCAGTGCCACGTGCCAGTGCCCATCAGTGCCACATCAATCCCACATATCAGTGCATACCAGTGCACATCAATGCCACATATCAGTGCCCATCTGAGCTGCCTTTCAATGTCACCCATCAGCGCCAGTCAGTGCCACCTAACAATGCCAATCAGTACCACCTATCAGTGCTGCCAATCATTGCCACCTATCAGTGCGCATCAGTGCCACCTATCAGTGCGCATCAGTGCCACCTATCAGTGCCGCCTATCAGTGCCAGTCAGTGCTGCCTAACAGTGCCAGTCAGTGCCGCCTAACAGTGCCAGTCAGTGCTGCCTATCAGTGCCATATATCAGTGTCATGTATCATTGCTGCCTTTCAGTGCCCATCAGTGATGCCTGTCAATGTCCATCAGTGCCACCTACTAGTGCCTCCTCATCAGTGCCACCTATCAGTGTCCATCAGTGTAGCCTATCAGTGCCCATCACTGCAGCCTCATTAGCACACATCAGTGAAGGAGAAAAATCACTTATTTACAAAATTGTATGACAAAAACTAAGAAAAAACCGCTTATTTTTTTCAAAATTTTCAGTGGCTTTTGGTTTGTTTAAGAAAAAATAAAAATCCCAGAGGTGATTAAATACCACCAAAAGAAAGCTCTATCTGTCTCAAAAAAATGATAAAAACGTCATATGGGTACAGTGTTGCATGACCGCGCAATTGTCATTCAAAGTGTGACAGCGCTGAAAGCTGGAAATTGTCCTGGGCAGGAAGGAGGTATAAGTGCCCTGTAGGCAAGTGGTTAAAGTAGGTGTTGTTTGTGTGTCTTCACTTTCATCAGAATTTAAGAAATAAGGTGTGCCTATTTCCCTTCACACATGGGTGTGACATTCCTTAGGGCCCATGTGGCTGTCTGTGCATGCAAAACTGCTGGTTTATAGAACAGATACAACCTAAATATATAGAGCAATTTATACAACTTCATACAGCTGTTTCAGAATAATTAACCTTGTCAGTGCAAGAAATGGAAAACACCCATGATGTTTGAAGTAATGGTTTGTAATTGTAAAACAGCAAACTATGTCTTTTTTAAAGATAATCATATTGGGATAATGTGATCAAACTGAACAAAAAAAACCCTCCCATCATAATAAGCCACTCATGCATCTTATTGTACATTCTTGGAAATGGTACACAACCTGTCTGGTTATGCCACCCTAAAAATAAAATTGTAATTTACTGTTTTGTATAACATACCAATATTCAATGACTTGAAGTTTAAAATGTCAGAGTCAAGTTTATTATAGGAATTTAGATATCAGCAACATAAAAGCATAATTGGAAAGAGGATGTAATCTGCAGAAGCTGTGCCCAAAAAAAGCAAGCAAGGGGCAATGGACTAGTCACCAGTATTGTCTTTAGGCTACCTGCAGCAGGGCTTTTTCCCATTACTGACTTACCATGTCTTGTTCTGAATTGTGTCTCTTTGTACAGTGGTAGAGCATCAGGGCTTTGCTTCCTATCAGAGATATCCCCCAGTATTTGGTGATCTGATAACTGGTGTGACAATTTTCAAGAAGCAGGAGAAGTAGAAGCACAGATCCAAAGAATAAATGAAGCAGAAGTAAGGAGACCCTTACTTTGCAGGTCCTCAAGTATGGATTCCTGTCTAGCAAGGATCTCTTGAATATCTGGAGCCATTACTTTACCGCCCTCCCTCTGAAAAGCAACCAATTGTGGATGTAAAGACTGTTGCCCATTTGAAAAAGCCCTTTAAGTAACAATCCCTTGGTAAGGTTGCTTGGCCGCCATGCCCTTGCAGTCTGGGAAGTATTTCTCCCTATTCCCTGTATTGGACCTGCTCAGAGCAAGGATGAGGTCAGCAACATCCGAATGTTAGCATTTCCCTCTGGGGGTGCCTATGGACTTCTTCCACTTGTTGAGATAAATCTAACTGTATTTCCCTCTAGAGGAATACTGTGACATTCTAAAACCCACTGCTAGGGCACAGGTCCCATGTCTCGCCAGATCATTGTTTGCAATGTTATGGACTGTTAGTAACTAGTTTAGGCATGGTGCCACCATTATCCTATTTGAATGACTGACTGACAAATATGTTGTTAAGGAGCCTGGTGTGGACTTATGGGCTTGTGCCCAGGGGAATAAGAAGAACCACAGCTGGAAGGTTGATTTGTGGGGCCTGTGTTGAAGTTAGGCCAGGTTGGGCTACCCTTAGGGTGTACACAGAGGAACACTGTCAAGTGATTTATGCACAGTAACCTTAGGAACCCAGGTGGCCCCATGCTAAGCAACTGTGGAATGCCCAACATGTCCCCAAGCCAACTGAGAAAGTAGAGCACAGCACACATATAGTGGATATAAAAAGTCTACACATCCCTGTTAAAATGTCCAGTTTCTGTGATGTAAAAAAATGAGACAAAGATAAATAATTTCAGAACTTTTTCCACCTTTAATGTGACCTATAAACTATACATCTCAATTGAAAAACAAACTGCAATCTTTTTTTGGAGGGGGGGAGTAAACATAAAAAACTAATATAATGTGGTTGCATAACTGTGCACACCTTCTTATAACTGGGGATGTAGCTGTGTTCAGAAATAAGCAATCGCAATCAAAATCATGTTAAATAGGAGTCAGTACAAACCTGCCATCATTTAAAGTGCTTCTAATTAAGCCCAAATACATGTCAGCTGTTCTAGTAGGTCTTTCCTGACATTTTCTTAGTCGCATCCTACAGCAAAAGCCATGGTACGTAGAGAGCTTCCAAAGCATCAGAGGGGTCTCACTGTTAAAAGATATCAGTCAGGAGAAGGGTACAAAAGAATTTCCAAGGCATTAGATATACCATGGAACACAGTGAAGACATTCATCATCAAGTTGAGAAAATATGGCGCAACAGTGACATTACCAAGAACTGGACGTCCCTCCAAAAGTAATGGAAAGACGAGAAGAAAACTGGTCTGGGAGGCTGCCAATTGACCTAAAGCAACATTAAAGAGCTGCAGGAATATCTGGCAAGTACTGGCTGTGTGGTACATGTGACAACAATCTCCCATACTCTTCATAAGTCTGGACTATGAGGTAGACAAACATCCAACCCTAAATTTTGCAAAAACACATCTGAAGTCTCCCAAAAGCATGTGGGAAAATGTGTTCTGGTCTGATGAAACCAAGGTTGAACTTTTGGCCATAATTCCAAAAGATATGTTTGGTGCAAAAACAACACTGCACATCTCCAACAGAACAGCATACCCACAGTGAAGCATGGTGGTGGCAGCATCATGCTTTGTGGCTGTTTTTCTTCAGCTGGAACTTGAGCCTTAGTCAAGATAGAGGGAATTATGAACAGTTCCAAATACCAGTCAATATTGGCACAAAACCTTCAGACTTCTGCTAGAAAGTTGAACATGAAGAGGAACTTCATCTTTCAGCATGACAATGACCAAAAGCATACATCCAAATCAACAAAGGAATGGCTTCGCCAGAAGAAGATTAAAGTTTTGGAATGGCCCAGCCAGATCCCAGACCTGAATCTGATCGAAAATCTGTGGGATGATCTGAAGAGGGCTGTGCACAGGAGATGTCTCGCAATCTGACAGATTTGGAGTGTTTTTGCAAGGAAGAGTGGGCAAGTGCCAAGTCAAGATGTGCCATGCTGATAGACTCTTACCCAAAAAGACTGGGTGCTGGAATAAAATCAAAAGATGCTTCAACAAAGTATTAGTTTAAGGGTGTGAACACTTATGCAAACATATTTAATTTTTTTATTTTTACTTCCCTCCCCCTAAAAGATTTCAGTTTGTTGTTCAACTGAGTTGTACAGTTTATAGGTTACATTAAAAGTGGAAAAAGTTCTGAAATGATTTATCTTTGTCTCTTTTTCTTATATCACAGAAAGCTGACATTTTAACAGGGGTGTGTAGATTTTTTATATCCACTGTAGTCCGATTACATTGCAAAGCTTTGAGGTTGTAGGTACAGGAAGTTCACTATCTGAAGGAATTCAAGACAGAATATATCGGCTTCTGTCGCTGCATGTCAGAGCTATAGCACAGTGCCAAGGGGAGTGCTCTGTGCTACACGTATGACAGGCAGTGGGCACATATGTGGGAGTGGGAAAAAACGCTGGCAGCTTTCATAAATGACATATGAAAGAAAAAAAATGAGTGGCTCCATATAGCAGTTAGGGAAACTGACACTTCTTTGAATACAGGGAAAACCTAAAATTGAGTAAACACAAAACAAGGATCTGAATTAATACAAGGCCTTTGTGTACACTTACTGATAATTTATGTGCTTGACCTGTTAACGGTGGGTTACAAAATACTTGCTGGGTTTTTCCCTGGGTTAGTCATAGGTCTTGGCATGGAGATGAAAAAATAACACACATTTATCTTTGTGTAAACTGACTTTAGAACAATAAGTAGGATCAGCACTTTTCTGTCTATAATTCATGCATAGAAATAAACTCTGGGAAAAATTCCTTAGATGTCTTATATTTACAGGATACTGTAGAAAATTACCGGTAAATGCAGTTTTTTTGGTTCAAAAATTTTAACCAGAACAATGAATAAACTGATTAATAAACAATAGTACTGCAATTTGTTGTATGGTATGCGTTAACATTAGTTTTTTTTTAACATAAATTATACTGTACAATGCTTGACATCTATACAGAGGTGTAACTAGAACCTTTATGGCTCGGGTGTAAGAAACCATAAAGGGTCCCCCTAACCCCCATCTGGGAGGGACCCCCCCCCCCACAAGAACCCAGTCATGAGTGTGACCTTGGAGACCCTGTGTAAGGGACCACCTGGCAGCACCTCTAGCAGCCCACTGATCAGGTTTCCCCAGAGAGTGGAGTCTAAGTCCCGGATCACTTGTTCACCAGAGCCCCTGATGGTGGGGATGGACTTGGAGTATACCGAGACCAGGTCGCGACTACCAGGTACACCCACCAGTGGTAGAGGAGTCCGCCAAAAGCTCCCGCAGGGTGAGAGCCTGATGTGAGAAGGCCGGGAGATCCCAGTGGGATGGACGGATGGATGGATGAGCAAGTGCACAGTCAGACAAGCCGAGTCGGTAGCCGGGGGGTCGGTGCGGTACAAAACAGCAGGCAGAGAA